GTATGGTTTTTGAAGCGTCGGACCACACGGGCCGTTTTGCACACGGGCCTTTTCTTATTAGAGAAGAGTGGACAGAGCCGGACCCACCCACTGAGCCAGGACAACATGTGTGCCTCGTGGAGCTGACTCCATCAGTTTGCAGGCAATACTTTGCAGCGTGCAATGTGAACTTCTCCGAGGAGCAGATCCGGCGATTCATGACCATGCCGGACTTGAACCTTGGCTGTTTCAACATCGTTCACAGCCATTATATAATGTGTTTTCCTTAAAGCTGCAATACCTTAAAGTTTATGCTTTTGATGTGGCGCATCTACAAATCAATTTATTGCCTTGCTTAAACTGTTGAATCGATCTTAAGTAAGTGTTGCAACAATTTATATAACCACTCAGGTGCCTGCTTCTTCTGGCGCGCTTGTCATTAGAACATGGAGAAGCACATGAATGCAGGTTCCAGTTGCTTGGCTGCTGGAAATCATTGACTTCATCAGTTTCGTTATCTTTTTAAAACATTTCTGTCTAGTTTACTTGATGTGACTGTTCAGATGCTCAAGGGACAGAGAATCAGGCACCAACCTGATGGCTGAGGCATTATGCACCAGGCGAATTTGTTGTGCCACTGGACAATGCCAGTCAGCACAATTTGCTAAGGCAGCTTGGTTGAATGCAAAGTTCCTGCCATAGAAACATGCTTGCCCTCAATTCACTGACACCTTATATACGATCGCAAAGTTTTCAAAAGCTCAGGATTGCGTCGGACCGTCTCCTTACGCGGCAGCGGCTTCGTTTGCTGGACTGGTCTGTTGAGCATGCAGAAGAGGTGATGTGCCGGACAGGTTGTGAGAGGGACCAGGTCTCAGAGTTCCACTTCGCTGAGTATGCAGACCACCGCTACTTGTCGGGCCCACCCCAAGAGGTGCTGGTGCCATACAGAGGCCGGACCTATAGGACAAAGCATGCATTCCGCAGGCCGGACTTTTACAGTGTGCGCCAGGAAGGACAACACAGTGTCTCACTTGGGCCATATTAACTATTTTTGTCATTTGTTTTTTGAAGGAATGTCAGTCAGTCAGCGGAAATGTCACTACTCACTGACTCAGTTTGTGTGAATCCTCAGATGGGCAAAGGTACTCTTGTCTTCTTGGCCAATGAACTTAAGCTGGTCCCATTCCCCTTGAACATTCTGTTGACGGAGCAGCAGTTGGACATCCCCACATCGCTTTGGTTGCCTCCACCTCCTCCTGGACTTGGGCCTAACCCTGCGGCGAGCAGTGGCTATGAGGCTGATCACTGTGATCGAGTAGAGTCATTGGTGGACATGATGGTCGATTCGTCGGACATTCGCCAGGACATTGACGAAATCTTGAGATTTCCGGACAGACAACCTGAAGTCGGACATCATCAGATTGATAATCGCTTTCAGTAAAAGAAGGGGATTGTGCATTGGGTTTGTCTTGTATTTGCAAATTGAAACTAAATTGGGGAATCAGGGAGTCAGAACAGCAGAATGCACATTCCTGTTTTGGTTCATTGAGTGGCTTGTGACTGTCGTCAGAATCCCTCACATTCACAAGTCATGCCACAACTTGTCTTAGAGTGGCCTCTTGAGGATTGAGTGTTGTCCCCTCTTGCAGAATTCCAAACGAGGTTCCAAATTGGCGCAGGCACTGAGTCATGGGACCTCAGGAGCAGTGAGTCAGACAGAGCAATCTAAAGTAAAGTTTTGCAACAATTTAACCACTCAGGCACTTGCTTATTCTGGCACACTTGTCAATGAACCATTCTGTTAGGTTGGTTAACTTTTCCTTTCAACATACATAATATTAGGTTGTGGTTGCAACTAGGCATGTTTCTCTTCAAGTCAACTGAATTGAGGCCAGACTCTGGCAGCTCTTGACCTGGACCAATGGAGGTGCACTTGGGTGATCGTTTGAGGGTAGTATGGGAGGGCAGCTGGACAGAAGTTGTTTGTTTAGAGGCTGCTAGTTTGCAACCAGCAGTGACAACCTCATTTCAGCTTGCATTGACAATTCAAAGCTAAAGGTTCATTCACATTTGAGAGTCAGTCAGCACTTGTTCATTGAAACCTTCATGTTTGCAGACAGATGTGCTCAATCAGGATGCCAGCTCAGTCAGAAGGCACCCAGCAGCTCACAGACACACACACACACATTCGACATAGATTCCCAGAAGACCCTGATGCCCTAAAACACATAGCATAGAGTTACAAAGGTAGTTAGGTCAATTGAAACATGGCAACATGAAGTAGTGCAACATGTGAAAATATGTTGAGATCAACAGCAACAAACCTTCACAAACTTTCACCTTCACAAACCATTGCTGGACAACTGGACAAACCTTCACTACAACTGGACAACTGGACAATCGGCATCGCTGCCATGGAACCGGATCCTGCGGAAGTGATTCGAGGGCCGAAGGACTAAAAGCTGGACAATGTGATGGACCCAATCAAGATCATGAACAAGACGACTAATGGCATATGCCGTTTGCCGGGCCTCAAGCTGGTCATTTATGGGTCGGGCCATGAATATGAGGATGTTACCCGTGGAAATGGAGTCTCAGTTGCAAGTGTAATTTGGTTTGGCACTGACTCCAATCAATGTGAACTCTTTTTTTGAATATCAGGTCTTCAAAAGAAGATTTTGACATCAATGTGACTCATTTGAAAACGTGTGTTGCATGAATTCATCAGGTCTATTTGCTTGTATGTATGATTCTTCCAAAACTTGACTTTTTAGACAGTGAATGCTTAAATCACAATGTTTGTGAGCAGTGCCTCATCAAGTCAGCACCTATTCTTTCATGCCACAGTCTCATTGAAATCATCGACAAATTGTTTTGCCACCATTGAAACAGAAAAGGATCACAATCATGCTGAAAAGATGTTAATAAGTGTTCTTGCAACTTAGACAACCACAGTTTTAGACAGGCCAAATATGTACAGTACAGGTGTTTGTGTACAATGACTAAACTCAAGTTGGCCAATTGTGTGAGCTAAGAATGGGGACCTGGCGCTACGGTCGTACCCCATGTGTTCCAGTTCATCTACGGTTCTGCAACACTGATTCAGTTGGACACGGAACACTTTATGCCCATGCTTGATGGGTCAGGAGAATTTTTTGTGGAACAAAGTGAGAAGGGCTGCTTACTTTAATTAAGAGCAGCAGTTCACTATGTGTCTTTTGTTTGATTTCCGACTGAATTCAATTTAATCGAAATAGAGCAGCATGCTTTGTCAGTTGTGATTAAGTTTTGGTGACTGAGGCTGCTCATCGCACAATTTGGAGCGGCTGGAGACTTTGATGAGCAAGAGTCTTCATTGGAGGGAGGCTGTGGTCTTTGCTTTGGCCACGATGAGGGCAATAATAAGGACCACGCCGGACAAAGACCATGAAATTCTGGTCGGACTTTACTGCGCCCTGGTCAGAGAGAATAATCAATTGTTGTAGTTTTGTCCTGGATGGGCTGATTTGTTTGTGAACGCTTGGTGGGGTACTAGTAGTGTTAGTCTTGAACTGCGAATTGTTTGCAGAAGAATCAGTTTAATAAGCAATATACCAATCTAGTTTGAGTCAGTCAATGCTTGAGGTGAGACGGGCATGATGCAGTCGGCCTTTCTTGGGACATGTTTGGGTGCCTTGCTGCAATGCCCGGTCACCTTCTTGAGTTTTTGCGGGACAGCGAAGCCGGAGTGGTGGACTCCCGTGCTGCCGACGGAGAAAATGCAGCCACTTGTGGAGCTGAGCCTCAAGGTGGACAAACTTCTTCGAGGACAATTAGTACCCAAGCCGGACAACACTCCTGAGGAGAGCATCCCATCGAAGGTGGAGTCAACCTCTAGCGAACAAGCCGGACAAAACGTTGTTCCCAAACTTAGTGGACCTACTAGGTTTGGCGCTGGGGTGGTCATGCATCCAGGCGACCAGGGCAACACAAACTATGGACCAGCTGTTGTCGGACCAACTGGAGAGGTGCCAATCCCACTCGGGATGAGGCCACCTTCCAAGGAGTGGAGATCAGGATTTTCGCCGGACAATATCAATATGATGTTCCAATTCCGGATGGACGCGGTGCGACAGGTCACTTTGATTGGATTGATTTTAGTGCAACTATTTTTCTTCTGTCAGTCTACTGTTTAGAACCATGTCATGTCCCATGTTCAATAAAGTTGTTGTTTTGTTGTAGTGAGTGAGGTTTTCCAATAGTCATTAGATTGTCAGTAAGAATGCAGCAGCCAAAGTTTAATATTCGTTGGTATGCTTGATATTAAATGTTTGAGTTGAGGCCCGGACATTTATTCTTCGGAATCTTCCTGCGACGGCCTCAATGATGGTCAGGATGGACTGCACGGAGGACATGTGGGTTGTAACTTGCACTACTTTACTTGTGAACTTTTGGTGTTGTTTCTATTCTTCTGCCAGCTGTTCCTTTGTTTGTGACATTTGCTCTAGCTAAGTTGGCAGCAAATATTTGCGGAAAGGGCCCTTGGGGCCGACATATATTGGCAGACGCGACGGACCAGCTTTGCAGTTCCTGGGTTTCAGCTGAGTATTTATTTTGATATACCTGTGAATGATTTTTCTTTGACGATGCATCCAGTATTCTCAATAGCTTCCTTTCAAGTCATACTGTACAGATTGTTTAGACATTGGCATACTAAGGACAGTACAATCTTGGAATCGGACAGGGAAAAGGTACTGCACCTATTTGGGAGAACTTTCGCTCTGCTTTTTTAAGATCTTGCTTAGCAAGTCAAGACGGGCAATGCACCCTAAGAGCCACTGGCATTGATGTTGGTGGGCAACCTTTGTTCTTTGCCATTGTGTTTTTTTTCTAGTTGTTTGGATTCCTATTTGCTTTGTTTGATTGTTCAGTTTCTCAATGTCTTTCACCTATCCTAATAAACATGCAACTGAAGAATTACTCTAAATATTTTGCAAGGGTGAGTTCATGTGACTGAATATGATTGAATCAACCTGCAGGCGATGATGAAGAGTTCATCAGCTACAAGCTCGCTCGAGGCCGGAGGCTGGACGCACAAGGAGTGCCGGAGAACAAACGGACACGAGCATTTCCTGGGGAGATCACCAAGCACTTGGACGAGGACATTGATCAAGGACGGAGATTTTGGCACACTACTATTTGGTCAAAAGAGGAGACGGACATGTGGACAGTGCAGAAGGAGGAGCATTTGGTAGAGCTGGACCCAAACATCAAACAGTCGGACATTACGCCGGACAATGGAAAGGGACAGGCATTCGACTCCCAGAAGGGCAGACTATTTTTGATGACCCAATCGGACAGATTGGCGGCCGAAGCAGAGCAGGCCAAAGCCAAGGGGAAAGCCAAAGGGCCAGGCGGACTCTTTGGACCACCTGTCGGACCACCATCCAAGCCAGCGGTCAAGCCAATGCCAAAGCCGGACACCCCCAGCAAGCCTAAGCCAACAGAGCCGTTCAAGGCCTTTCCAACTCAGTCGAAGCAGCAGGACCCAAAGCCGAAGCCGCCAGAGCCACCAAAGCAGGACAAACAGGAGGAGGCGGAATTCGATCACTTGCCTCCGCCACCTCCTCCGGCAACTGAAAAGCCGGACCCGCAGAAGGGCAACAAGCAACCAGTGCAGTTGGACAAGCCAAGCTGAATCTAGCACTGGAGCAAGTGAACAAAAAGGCTGGGGTCATGCTTATAAAGTTGAAAGTTATATGTTGAATCTAATGTTTTTTAATTGTTTAGAACTGAGCCCAGCAATGAACCTTGAAACAATGAGTAATGAATTCACTGAAAGCACAAGGGGGTTTCCACCAATGGATTTCATTGAGCTGGATTGTTAACCTTCCACAAGTGGTAGGCGCAAGATGGTCAAGGCCAGCTGCCAGTGGCCAGAGGTCGGGCAGTGAGTATATGGAGGAATCTGAGCGGTTCCACCGTGGCAAAGGCAAAGGCGGACCACATTACTGGAGGCCGGAGTATGACTATGAGTATGAGTGGTATCACGGAAAAGGCCCTCGAAGGGTGCCGGAGAACTACAGGCAGGACTTTGCGGTCTATGACAGAAGATATTATTATGGAAAAGGTGAAAAAGGTGCAAAAGGTGACACAGAGTGGCAGGACATGGAGCAGAGGGGCATGCAGGTGTCTTACATTAATTAAGTAAGCGTTGCTATTGGTGGGTTTTAGTTTCTATTCATTTTAAACAAATATATATATATATACAATACAATGTGTTGATTTGCAAGGCAAGCCATTTAGATACATATGCGCAGTCATAAGAAGACTAGTTCCAATATTGAGAATCGTCAAACCTATTCAAGGAGCAGCAGATCTCGGATGCTTCTGAAATGGATATGTACAAAGGGAAGAAAGGATTAACAATGACATACGGTAAGTAGTCGAACAAGTCGGACAATTTTGATTCTATGTCCACAAATGTGGACCGACATTTCGCTTGCCATCTGGCAAAAACAGTGATTGCTTTGGCTGCAGACCTGTATGTATTTTATGATTGAAGTGATTTATGTTGTGTACGCGATGTAGTCTCAGTACATGCAATGCAATCTATCATGTGTTTTCGTTCGGCAGTGTCCATATATCTTCGTGTCTTCGTGGCTGACTTGCTTAGCTGAACGAAAAATCTAGATCTTAAAACTGCTCGATTCTTGCCCTATGCAGGTGCATTTGGCCAGGGCTGGACAAAGAGGCTCATTTCGGATTATAGACTACAGGGAATTCGGGCCAGGTCTTGAAGTATTGCCTGTTCCAAGTGAAGCTGTTGTATTTATTGTAAAGTTGATTTGGAGATGTTATTGCTGCCAGCAGTTGATATTTTAATGTTTTGTGCCGGACAAGCTAAACCTTGAATTCAGTGCGGATCTTTTGTTTGTTAACTGCGTTCATTCTGAGATGCCGCTTAAATAATGTCAGAATGGGTTGCTTGCTGTCTCGAACAAATTAGGAGCTTATTGGGTTGGGGTTTGTTGCAGTTTGATGATTGGGTAGTTGGGCACCTCCTTTACTTCCAGCAGCTCAGCAATATGTTAAGAACATTGCTCAGTTTATTGCTGAACATACAGCTTCATGTTGCTAAAGAAAATGTATATGGTCACATACATTCCATGCATCAACAAATTGTTCCTTGAAGAATACCATTGACCACTACTGTTGATCCAAACTAGTCACAGTGTCCTTTTCTTCGGCCGACCATGAGGCTTGACATTGGTAGCTCTTTTGCTGGACCACATGAAGGCGCCATTGGCCAATTGAATCAGGGTGGTTCAGCTTTGATGAAACTGTGTCCCTCTGCAGTTTCTGTCCACTGAACGACATT